CAACACAGAGTAAACTAAGTATAGTTGCTGTCTTGTCACCAAAATGCAGGGGAAAATCATGACATAAAGATAAGAAACAGATGTTGTGAAAATGTGGCAGAGTTCAGAAGTTTGGGAACAGCGATAACAGATCGAAACCTGAATCAGGAGGAAATTAAGAGGAGATTGCACTCGGGTAATGCTTACTGCCATTCAGTTCAGAACCTTTTGTCTTCTTATCTGTTGTCCAAAAACACAAAATTGTAAAATACAAAAGTATAATCTTGCCTCTTGTTCTGTATGGGTGTGAATCTTGGTCTGTGATATTAAGGAAGGAACATAGACTGGGAGTGTTTGAGAACAGGGTGTTGAGGAGAATATGTGGACCGAAGAGAGATAAAGTGACAGGAGATTGGAGAAAACTGCAAAATGAGGAGCTTCATAATTTGTACTATTCTCCAAGTATAATTAGATTGATCAAGTTACGGAGGATGTGGTGGGTAGGGCATTTAACACGAATGAGGGAGGCGAAGAACGCGAATAGGATATTGGTGGCAAAGCCAGAAGGAAATAGACCACTGGGAAGACCAAAGCGTGTGTTTTGGAAAATATAAAATTAATCTTAGAGAGATAGGATGGCATGGTATGGATTGGATTGATTTGGCTCAGGATAGGGACCGGTGGAGGGCTCTTGTGAACACGGTAATGAACCTTCGGGTTCCATAAAATGCTGGGAAATTCTTGAGTAGCTGCAGAATTGGCGGTTCCTCCAGAAGGGCTTAGATCCATGAGTAAGTAAGTAAGTAATGACAGAATGATGTGTATTAGTGACACCCTTCAGATTATACTCGAAAGTGTGTACGTGGAAGGGGCCACAGCCATGGAGGATTATAGCGATATTGATAAATTATATCCACAATGTTTGTTTTAACTATGCTACAAGCCGGAAAGTCGAGGAATCGAATCCCAATGATGTGGATTTTTCAATTTACCTAATCCTTCAGCCGCAATATGGCCCTGGGGTCGACATGGGTTCTACCAGAAACTTGAGGCTCCACGGCTGTTACAGGGATTCCTTACCCCCATTATTTTATTTAAACATTCTTGCAAGAGTAAACCTTACCTGAGACAACTTTATCCAGATACTCCATTTCTTGGATGGCTTCATACGTAATCTTGCCTTCATGTTTCTTCAGCACAACATCGATCTCTTCCCGGAGACGTTCCTGTATATCCTGGTGCAATGATAGCTCGTACATACAGAACGTCGTGGTGGTTGACGAAGTCTCGAAACCCGCAAGAAAGAATACGAAGGCCTGAGCAGCCAGAGAATCGATTGATAGACCTACAAGGAGAACGGCTGATTGCATGATATGCATAAATCGAAGTTTCACACATATCAAGACAAGTTGTCGCAGAATATACTATAGTTCAAAGTAAGAAAATTCATCAGATGAAAATGACATGGGTAACAGAAACTAAAGATAAATTGGCACACGAGCTCTCTATAATGTTATTCCTTTCAGAATGAAGTCAAAATATTGTACAATATGTCCTGAGACATTTAATTTTCGAAAAACGCTTCACCGTAAAATGGCGGAGGGTAGAACATGCATGCCTCGTACATAAAAGAGGTGTCGGCGTTTGTCAGTCTCACGGAAAATAGCAGTGTTCCTTATCCTACTGACATCGAACATTGTGACAGCTTCTTGAAATATTTCCATATTTGGCCGCGTATTGTCTGCATAAATGTGCTCCTTCAAGTATTTCCACGGAAACAAATCTTATTAGATGTAAGTTTTGAGGTTTTCACAGCGATGACTATGAAGAAAGTCGTCTTCTGGAATCTGGCGTCGTGTATTCTTGGGTTTAACCGAAGTTTCGGAGGAACATATCGCCTCCATCTTCAGGGCAGTTGAATTGCGTTACAATTACAGAGATCAGTAGCTGCAATGATTGGAAAGTGAAAAGCGCTAGTTTATATATGAAGTGGGCAGGGGGGGGTTTGGGAGAGGGGACCAATGGGAAGAGTGAACAGCGATTAAGGCCATATTTATGGTTGGGGGGGAGAAAGGGGGGGGGAGAACCGGCCAGTGAATCCAGGCAACTTGGAGGTCAATGGCACGAAGGTGGCGGTTAAACAAGGAGAGCCGGTTGGCTGGGGACAGGCTATTGACGTCAACGACATGAACTGGGGACAAGCTACTGACGTCAATGACATGAAGAAGAACGGGTGGCTTTGTGGAGTTCTCTTGAGGGAAGAGATGAGAGTTTTCCATGATTTGTTGAGATAAAACCCTGTGTTCTTGTTCATGTTGTTCGGATGGAGCTCGATCTCAATGGCCTCCATGATGATGCGATCCAGGTAACGGCTCTTACAGGCGAGTATGTCGGTTTTGTGAAACTGGGTACGATGGTCTAGCTCGATGCTGTGTTCAGCTACGCCTGACTTGTCCGGATGTTCCAGGCGTAAACGCCGTTGATGTTCTTTCAACTAGCGCTTTTCACTTCCCAATCATTGCAGCTACTGCTCTCTGTATTTGCAACGCATTTTAACTGCCCTGAAGATGGGGGCGATATGTTCCTCCTAAACATTGATTAAAACCAAGAATACACGGCGCCAGATCCCAGAAGACGACTTTCTTCAAATCTTATTAGAATTACATTCGGTGATCGAGGAGGCCATGGAGATAGTCATCGACGTGCAATCCATTTTCCTTGATGAGTCACGTTCAGCCATCGCCGATGATGTCTCCGTAGTGAGCGAGATGAAGTCCCTCTTTCTAAAATCAAATTGTCTCCCTCGTAACTTCAGGCATAACTTCAAAATAATTTCCAGAGGTTTCGCGATATTGTTGGGCAGCGAGTTTTCCAGATCGGAGATACTGACCCATGACAATATTCCCTTGGCTTCCAGAATCTTGTGGACATTGATCACACTTTCAGGCGTAAATTAAACTTCGTTTGTCGACAGACATTTCTATAACAGAATAAATTTGCAGTGCATTGATTTTCTTAGCCCTTAGAAATATTGCCCTCCATGAGTAGTGGCATGAATTAAATTTTTCTTCATGCTGTACATCCATTACGCTCAGCTTGTATAGTGCAAATTTTAATGCGATATCAAAACAAAAACAATAAAATCTGTGGCCTGTAGTTCGCAAGCGAACTATACCAACCGAGCGACCGCCGCTTGTTGACGAAGTTAGTGCCAACTTTTGCAGATAGGATGTCACTGGGTCAGCGTAACGGATTCCCATGGCCGTTAATCTCGCTTTTCTAGACCGGAGCTACTATTTATGCTATTAGAGCTCTTCAATTATACTCACAAGGTTGAATGAATCCCGTTCGAGACCCACTACTTCTCAGGAAATCTGGTAGCGCCGGGATTGGAATCCGGGACTTCTGGATCTGTAGGCAGGAACTCTGACCACCAGACCACAGAGACGATATCTCGTGATCTCTTCTGCGGTCTTGGCTCCATATTTTCAGTTGACGTTGAAGTGTATCTGGGAAACTGTGCGCCTCAGAACACAGTGTTTAACGATTTCGACTTGATTTTTAAGACGGACTCACACTATGGACAACTCGGGCACCAATTTCGTTTCATCGTGTGTGAAGATCTTACTTCAAAGGAAGTACAACACATAATTGGGGCCTGGTTAAATATTCTTGCTTTCTTCTTTCAGAAAATTACAGTTTATTTTATTCTGAGAACTGAAAGAAATTAATAAACATTTTCTCTGGTCGAAATATTCACCCCTTTGATGGCAAACAACGGGACATACGCGATTAGCATTCTCTATCAAACGTTTAACGTTTTAGGTACGAATTCAGTAAATGGATAGGGGAAAAATAAGAAGTGGTGTCCAAGGCAAAATATGTTTTCAGTTTCTTGAGTGCTCTGACCAATATATGTACTAGACTTCCTATAAAATGGTCATTCAAGTTGTAAACGTCACAGATATTTATAATAAGATAAACCTCCCACCTCCAACTCTTGATTTAATAAATAATTGCACATACTCTTAAAATCCATATAAATGAAAGAATAAAGTCAGATATTTTTTCAACTTAAATTCAATACTGCTGTAGTTAATTATATAAATCGTTTCGATATTACTTAATTCCTCCCGTTTAACGGGACCTTATTATGGAAAAATGATAATTTTTGTTATTAAATAACTCCATTTGAGATGGTTGTAGGAAGTTGTAATTAATGAGCTGAAATAATAGTAAGAACTATGAAGGAAGGAGGAACTTCAATAACTATATGCAGAGAGGAATGAGTGGGCTTCTTTGGTTGAAGAAGCCAGTTCTCTAATCGAGCTGCAGTCCCGGGTGGAGTATAGAGGAATGTACTGTATAAATCTACATGCAACACACATAAAATACATACCATCCTCACCAGCTTTGTTCTCTATGGTTCCATTATCATTCTCTTCAAAACTTTTATTGTCTTCGTCTACTTTGCCCTTATTCTTGATCTGGATAAGTAGTTGCATGAAATCATTCCTTTGGAAGTTATTATTTTCCCTAAAGTTCACTGTGTCCTTAACCATTCTTCGAAAAAAATTTGAGACGTCTGGATCTATGCTTCTCAGTTTTAAGAAAGCCACCAAAGATGGAGCAAGTGCACTGAGAGATAGAATTATCATAGACAGGGCCGATGATTTGAATATTTTCCTTCCCCATTGACGAAACTCAGCGTCTGGATTCTCAAGACAATTACATTGGATTCCAAATGCACATGACGATATTATGTCCGTGGTGTACCTAGCCAAGATATCTTTGATTTCAATAATCTCTCCTTTATTAGCGGTTTCTTCTAGAATGGTTCCAAGTTCGTGCCCACAATCAACCAAAGTTTGAAACATCATCTTCATTTTACCAGAAGTGAAAGTTGGTGTCAGTTTAACGCGAAGATTTCTCCACTTGTCCCCACGGAGAAAGAACAAGTTTCCAAGAAGTGGTTCAAATTCTTCATCTATGAAGAAGCCGCGATCTTGGAAACTGGAGAAATCCTTAACGAGAACAGATTTTATAATCTCTGGGTCACGGAAAATGAATCCAGGTTTCGCGAACGTGTAAAATCCTCCATATTTCTCACCGTCGAGCTTTCTGTAAATTTCTGCGAACGAATGTCCTATAGGTTTACTCAACAACATTAGATCTCTAATATTTCCAAAGGGGAAAGTTGGATTGATAAAAGGGGCATTCCTTTCTTTCCAATAGGAAATCGACATCTTGAAGTAGACATACAAAGCTGCGATGAGACAGGCTACCAGAGCCCCCACATCCAGAAGAGCGGTTCCAAATAGCAATCCCATGTGTGGATGTATACTGCAAATTAGGCCTGTAGGAAAAGAACCAAATAAATTAATTTTCGTGAATTATTTTAAGATCGCAATGATTAAAGCGATATTATCATTCTTATGGGAGAAAATTATGAATATAAAGGCTGGTCAAATGGTCATTTCCCTCGTGCAAATTAAAGCAAAAACATACAGATATGGTAAGAATTAAGACCGATCAATTTTATAAGTGCCGACGCATTACGTGATTGTCTCAGCGTTTAATGTAATGACACGGTACTCATATTCAGCTAACTAAATAATCCTATGTATTAAAAGAACAGATTTTTTTTTTACAATTATTCGGTTCTATTTAATATTAATTTTACCATTAAAAATTTTTGTGGCTTTAGTCTGCAAGCGAAGTATACCAACCAAGCGACCGCCGCTTTTCGGCGAAGTTAGTGCCAACTTTAGCGGATAGAGAGTGTCGCGTGGTCAGTGCAACGAATCCCCGAGGCAGTTAATTTTGGGTTTCTAGATCGGAGCCGCTATTTCCTTGAAATAGCTCCTCAATTATCCTTAAGACGCTGTGGACCCCGTTTTAGACCCACTAATTCTCAGAAAATCTGGTAGCTCCGTGACTCGAACCCGAGACCTCTAGATCTGTAGCCTAAAACTCTGACCACTGGACCATAGAGGCGGTCAATTTTATCATTAATACCTGGCTAACTGAAGGGGAGAGGTACTTATCATCCGTAATATGAATTCAGGAAGGGATTAAAGAATATTTTCAGGTTACCAGAATAATAATTTAAGATACCGCCATTAATCTATACTATAACTAAACAACAATAAGCTTCAGCTTGTACACTCGCTCTCCTGCGTGAGACATTTATCTTTCCAATATTTGTTTCCCCAAAGCCAACGCAATTGAAGACTGTTTGGAAATTCAGTTCACCCCGCATGATCTGTGCGACGATAACCATGAACGGAGGGTGGAGGCTAGAGTACAAGCTCTGCTGGAAACCGTAGACGATAACCCCCCCTCAAAGGATCAGACATGTGACGTACAGAAATTAATAAAATCTCTGAAACTAAAACTGGCCTGCGGAATTGACGGCATCCCAATGAATGCCTCAGGCGTCTTCCAAGGCGACCACTGGTTCATCTAACACGTTTATTTAATCATTGTTTTCGGCTTTCGCATTTTCCAAGTACCTGGAAGGAAGCAAAAGTAATAAGTTTACCCAAACCTGGTAAAGATCAGAAATTCCCTCAAAATTTACGTCCGATCAGCCTCCTGTCCACGACAGGAAAATTGTTCGAAAAGCAATTTTGAATTTCCTCTGTAAACTTATTGAAGAAAAAGGCCTGCTCAACGCAAGTTAGTTTGGGTTTCGTGCACGTCACAGCGCGACATTGAAATGTATGAGACTGGCGGACCAGGTGACCCTTAATTTCAACAATAAAATGTCTACGGCTGCGGTGTTCTTGGACATCGAAAAAGCATTTGATACCACGTGCCACTCAGGATTGCTGTATATGTTATGAAAATTGGAATTCTCAAACAGTTTGGTCAAACTGATTGGGCCCTTTCTTTCTAAACGTAAATTCAGGGTCTCGGATGAAGGCGAAATATCAACGCCAAGTGAAATGCAAGCAGGGGTGCCACAAGGTTCTGTCCTTTCCCCTACTCTTTTCAATTTGTTTATAAATGATGCCCCTCAAACTCATGGTGTTCATCTGGCCCTCTTTGCGGACGACACTTGTTTGTATGCGACAGATCGCAAGGAGGGTTTCATTGATAGAAAATTCCAGGGCGGTCTCAGCTCAATGGAGACCTGATGTGAGCACTAGAATATAAAAATTAATGAAGATAAGACTCGGGAGGTCTACTTCTCTCGTGGGTATCGACCGCCTGAGTCTTGTCTTACTCTTAATGGACGAAATATTCCATTTGTAAATAGTGCAAAATATCTAAGTATAATTACAATTAATTGTAACAATTTACCATCATCACATACTTTTAGATCTAGGTATAATCTTCGATAAGAGAGTTACATGGAG